CCGGTGACGCCGAACGCAACGGCATGTGGGTCTCGAACTCTCGACACGGATCATGACTCCTTCAGACAGAGTCCCAACGTGAGGCTGACACGTGAAGATCAATAACCTTGTGAAGGGTTGCGGCGTGCCCTGCTTCTCGCCAAAGTGCGGTTACACCGTTGTGACACTCCTTCGGCGGCCTCGAGCCCTGGTTTGTGTTACACTTTGTAGAGATAAAATTTTGTTCTGTCTAATTACTAATAATGCTACTAACCTAAAAATTCTAATAAGTTAACTAGCCTAATAACGCTAAATCTATAATATATAGCTTATTTATTTCTATAATAGTAATAGTAATAGTAATAGTAGAGCTATAATTATTATTTTTAATAGCTATTTATAATACTATATTAAACTTATATAACTATTTTTTTAACCTCTATAGTAGTATTAAACTATATAATAATTATATTTAGTCTTTCTACTTATTACTATATATAAGTAATAACATCTACTTTATTTATAAAACACTTTCTTTATACTAAATATAAGCTATAAAGTTCTTTTTTATATTATTATAATTTTTCTTAGTTATTCTTACTATCTTTTATAATACTTTAATCTATAACTTTACTAACTCTTTTTTTTATTTATTAGACTTACTATTCTTTAAGTATATTTAGAGAATAATAGCTATAAGAGTAAGAGAGTTAACTATTATAATAGATACTTATATCTTTCTATTTATATTACTAGATAAGAATATTTCTCTAAGATCTTTAAAGCGCGCGTCTTTTTAGTAATAGTAAAGTTAAGTATTACTAAAGTAGATAAAAACTTAATATAAGAGAAAATTCTAGTAAAAGAAGTTAAAGAGCTATTCTATAAAACTAGCTTTAAAGTTAAAATTAATAAGAGTAGATCTTAATAGAGAAGGCACTTATAGTATCTAAAGTATAAAGTAAGAGTTCTTACTATTATATAGAAAAAAGATAATACTATTAGTAATTTATTTATAAATTATTTTATAGTAGAAGCTATTAAGTAGTAGAAGTTTATAAAAGATTCTAATATAGTATAAGTATAAAGAGAGTACTAGCTTTAAAAGAATATAAGAAGATATACTAACTTATATATAAAAATATATAGTATATTTACTTTATAACTTATTCTAATAGTTCTTTAACTAATAAGCTATAGTTATATTACTATTTTATCTAAATTTTAAAATAATAGAGTAATTATATTACTTATATAGTAATTTTTTTTTAAAATAAGCTACTTACTAGAGTATTAGCTACTAAGCTAAGAAGGCTTAGTACGCTCTTGCGCACACTTTTATAGAGTATGTATTATACTTTAATTATAACTTTTAAGACACCTAGTAGAGGGCTGTTACCTATTTAAGCCTAATTTTTTTAATTCTAAGATACTCTATTACGCTGTAAATACAAAACGTGACACTCCTTCTTACGGCATGCTGTCTGTAAGCAGCCTTCCTCGGGACGACCCTCCACATAGCCAAGACCTTCATCGGTCATCAGCAGTAACTTTGACGTCGCTTACCTCAACGTTACGCCATACTAGGGTCTGGGATCGAATCTGTTCGACCTGGCAAGGCATCTATACCATAGGTCAATATATCCATGTGGCTGACGCCCGCTTCCTGTACCAAGACCAAGTCGACCCGCTATCAGGCTAAAAGCTGACGGCAGCCAAAACGGTCGCCCGTCCACTGTTCACATCCTTGCCATTGCCTTAATGGTCATCCCTGCCCGTTGATTACCGAGATCTAAACAAATGGCAGCGAAGCACGCAAGCGTCGAGGAGTACTTGTGGGTACAACCGAGCTGCAACCAGTGAAGGGGTACCCATGTGCCCGAGCTGCTGCAACCCCTACCTACCACGTTCCCCACATCCTGAAGCGTCGATCGTGTCGGTCGCTTCTACTTGTGTGGCGAGCTGTGGAAGCGCTCTACGTTGTCATCGCGTGCGTCTCGTACTCCGCCGCGTGGTTCGATCTTAGCCACCATCGCGTGTCGTCTTATTCCGGTTGGGGTCGACGGAGCTCAGTAATATCTCAAAGAGAGAGCAGCACGGATTTGGCGCAGCGCCTGCAAGCCTCACGCCAGCCGCACGCCATCTGACCGACCTAGAGCGTGCATGTCCGAACCACTTCGCCAGCCGACATCGCCCAAGAGCGCACGCCAAGAACATACTAGGATAGTACCAAGGGTCATAGCAGACTCGAGGTCGTCCGTAATATCTGACAACCAAAAACCGGTTCCAGTTGCCCGTTGCCGCAACGGCTCGCGACGATCTGTCAGAGAATGACCCGTTCTCTCAGAGCAGGCCGCAATTCCGGATCGTGGCTGACTCTTTGAACACCGAGGAGCCAGTGATCCATTGCTCGCTCACCGCATTCCGAACTTTGGGTATCCACGTTGATTGTCCAACGTCACCACGCGGCAGACGCAGCCCCCATGGCCCGCAGGGCGCGTACCATGCGCTTTGACATTGTCTCAGTATTCTCCGCATGCGAACTCGTACGGTAGTGCACAGTGCGGCGTGTGGGGTCTTTCTGCCCTTCGTAGACGTTCTCCTTTCTTTTCATCTCTTTAGATGAGCCCATCAATATGTCGCAGCTTCCATGGAAGCCCTAAAATGTGGAGAAGCACGTTGAGCAGGTGGCGCTCGCCCTGGCCACATGGTGCAGACGTGGAGATGGGGTGGCCAAATTGATTCGGTATTACACGCAGCACTACCGTGAAGGACTGCAGTGTCACCGTGATTTGTCTCCTTATGCCCTGGATCTGCTATTCCTTTGTACTGGGTCATGCACAGATGTAGCGGAGAGTAGGGAGGGGCTCCGGCGCTGAGGTCTACCTGCAATGAAGGGGGCTTGCAGCGTGCATGTCATATGACTCTCGTTTTGGAATCGTAGAGTTGAGGGCATTCACAACTTCTTAGTTGAGGTATTAAGGCGGCTAGGACAATCTTGTTCACACCACCACTTGCACAAATATTAGTATGCTGATGACGGTGAATTACTTGTTCACAACCCACTCCTGTTAATGTGCTCCCCACGCTACAAGATCTTATCATCAGCTGTAACTATCGCATCGGCTCACGAGCCCAAGCCGGGCATCTGACTGTACTGTAGCCGATCATCTTATGCCAGAGTTCGATGCCCTTCTCCGGTCTACATGAGATGGGCATTTACTTACATGGGCTCAAGCAGCAGGGCCTTTCGGGAGATGCGGGCGGTCACTGACCCGGCGAGTTCCAGGCTCCCTAGACGGTATTGACCAACAACGCATTCCAACACAGCTCAACAGATCTGGGGTGCATATCAGGGCAATACTCCTTGCATATCTTGATGTAGCCTCGGTGTATGCTCTCCGCACCCTGTGCCTTAGTGACAGTTGCCTACGAGGGAAGTGACTTATTCCTATCCAATCGCGTTGATATCCTGAATAGTCTCATGTCTTACCGGTCCGCAGCAATGCTTCCATACTTTGCAGCTGGCGAACTTTATGTCGTTGTTCTAACCAGGGCTTTGAATGTGCATGCGTTAGAACTTTGGTACTGGTAAAGACACGCCCTCGTGCCGGAGATTATTGACGTTCCACCAGGTAGGGTCGTGGACCGGGAAGCCGAACGCTGGTATACTAAGACGAGGAAGGGCCGCATGGCAAAGCTAAGGTTTGGTAGCGGGAGGGCAAGAACGCATTGGGTGCCCAAGTACCGGCATCGCTCGCCAGGTACCACATGTGGTCTCGCACAACTTTCTGCAAATCCTTGACCTGACCAGGGTCACCTGTGTTTGGTATACTCAGTTGAAGCGCTGGCAGCCAAACACTCTTGTCCCCGAGTATCGCCACGCAGCCATGGCATCACATTCTACCTTAACTGGCCAACAGACTTTGGGTGGCACGGTACTTAGGTAGTCAGCACAACAACACGTGCAGCCCACCAACCTCCACGGCCATGATTCAACTCCTTCACTTCCAATTCTAACTAGCGTAGGTGTCATGCTCGAAGCAGTATCTAGTCGTGTTCAAGTCCTTGATCCAGTCGAAAGCCCCGCAGAGGAAGCTCGGGGCTCGCGGAACGCAGGGGTGTACTTTTGAAACATCGAACCTGGCTATAGCATCATGAGACAATGTATTCAATATGTGGTTGGCCCTACAAAGTGACCAGCACAAGCGATCATAGTAGCAATATCACTAACTCGCTGTTGGCACGGCACAGGGCTTGCTCTGTACTTGTGTGATCTCCTAGGTGGCTCTATTTGGCCTGTAAGTTGGTGAAGGGCTGTTAAGTCAGGATTGTTTTGTTGCGTGTATACGCGAGGCGTGGCTATTGCGCTAACTTATTGACTACCCACTATTCTCCACTGTGTACTAGAAGCGAAGTAAGGAGACGAAGGGAACTTCCGTACGTGTGCAGGCAAGCTGGCGATATCATGTCTCGGAGTAATTGTACCCGACGCTACAGGCAAAAACACGCGAAGGACTCTGCGCTTTTCGAAATATGACGCACAATACTTGAGGAACATGTGCACCAGGATGGCGTGCATAAAGTTTGGTACCAGAACGCCCTCGCAACGATCGCGCCGCCAGTCCGCACACCAATATCTCAAGGGGCAAACACATTATGGTATAACGCCGAAATCCAGTATACGTGAAATCGTACATCGCACTAATCGTGGGCATCAGCCCTGATGAAGCTAGGCGGCAGCCACATAGCCACTGGCCCGCGCCGGAGGAAAGGAAAGTAACATCGAAAAGACGGAAAACATAGTGATGTCAGGGTATAGGGTAATGCTAGTAACGCACAAAAGGTGAGCCAAGTGGCGGCCCAAAATGATTCCAAATGTACAACGAGTCGCAGCCGAGTGAAAGGAATCCTGACCTCCCCTTAGGGAAGTAACAGGGCGTGTATTGTTGTACTTTTGCCCAAGGCGGTGTTATGGTTCCGGGATGACAAGGGTCGGCCAAGCGAGGCTCAAACGCGGCTCAGAGTGCGAGCCCTGTGCCGTCGCCGCTCCAACGATAGAGACTCAACATTTCGCGCCGACGCTGTTGCGCAAGTTGGGCGTGTTCGTCCATGCCGCGGCCGCGCACTTGCTGCAAAGCAGATCGCATGACTTTGCGGAAATTTCGCTGCGAGGTGTTAGCATGATTACTGATCTTGGCAGAGCAGTGGGGCCGCCAAAGGTTGAGGTAAGAATGACGGGCTGGTTGCGCCACTTACCTGATATTCGGTATTGAGGGTGACGATGCATGCTTCATGCGCGCGTACTATCACTTCGCATGCTCGCACGATGTTCGGACTTGCATCTCCTTGCAGCTTGTCGGCTATGAGCAGTAGCAGGAAACTCCCTTGCAAGAGGTAAATGCCGAAGAAAAATGGCATGAAGCTTAGGTCCGGATCGTATTCCAAAATCTCATTCAATGCTTCGGCGGCTGATACCGCATGACCAGTTGCATCGACGAAACTTTGCGAAGATATCCAGAGGTCGTTGTCATCAAGTAGCGAGATAGGATCCCATTTACCATTGAGCAGAATGTGAAGCGTGTGCATGAGATGCGTACCATACGCTTCCACAATCTTAGCATGCATTAATGACTCTTGCGCCCTGGACATAGTAGAGTTGACAGACCGGCCGGATGGTGTGTCGGGGTGTGATGGTTCGCGTTCAGCGTTGGCCTCATTCACTGCGCGATTTCGTAACTCTTGAAGTGACTGCCCATATACCACCAGCTGTTGACTGATCTCGAGCGCGTGGTGATCCCAGTCTGTCTTCGTCCCAAAACGAGGGTGGTTGCGCGCATGATATAGATCGGTAATCTCCCCAAGGATTGTCATCAAAGGAAGGAAAAATCCGAAAATGGAGTGTCCGGTGCACTCAAAGGCAGGCCCTCGAGATCGTCGATGAAGTGGGGAATCTGAAAACGATTGAGCGGAGTCCTCGAAGAATTCGCCAGATTGCCATACGTTATCGTCAAGTGGCTGCAGCAGGCCCGAACATTCGACGTCTAATAAAGACAACGGTCGGTTGTAGCATAACGCTAGGTGGCTGTTGAGCGATCAGCGTGTGTTGGAGGGCAGATCTGATGGATGCGCAAGAACGTCGGCAGAAGTCGAGCAATGCCATGCTACGAGTGTCACGGTTGACAAAGATCGGATGGCTTACCGATCAACAGTGAACAGCAGCCACCATATACGTCTGCGCTCTTCTCTTTGCTCTTCTGTGAAGTCCATGGATGTGTGTTGACTGGTTGGGTATCCTGCGCCCATGTGTTCCGCATCGAGGTCTCCAGGTGCATCTTCGTCATTCGGTTCGGGAGGCGGTGTCACAGGCACTTCCTTGCCAAGTTTAAGCTCCCTAGCCAGTGACCAGGCGGCGTTCCACCAGCGGAGTGATGCAGCCTTGTACTCGCTGGCTGAGATCACTATGGCCAAGTGCATGTAGGTTGCTACGTCGTCAAGGCCTCCTGGTGCTCCCGCTGTTTGTAATCGTGTTAGTGAAGAAAACTTCGTAAAACTGAACACGGGTTGGTAACTTACGCAAACCAATGTCGGAATCTTGTGCGGGCATACCAAAACCACCCATGGTGACACCATTGATCGGCCCGACGCCGTTGAAAGCCGTCGGACTGGCATCGGAACCACCTGGATTTTGATGCACGAGAGGCTTCAAGAGACTGATGGTCAGGTTGATGAGTTTCTCCGATAATTGGCTCCGCGCAGATGGCGATGAAGAAAGATATGGAGATTCGCTTGTCAAGCAGCCAATCCAGAGCATACTTGCCAGCAATGCTGGACTGCACACGCGAGGGTTGTTGGTGCGGAGGAAAGAGCGCTTTCGGAAGACGTAGCCTAGTACGTAAGGGGAGACTGGTTGCATAAACGCAGTTGATGAACTCTGGAAATAGAGCTCTAGTAAGTCGCAAGCTAGTGAAATCGGCATGACATTTGCGAGATGTGGTACTAACGGCTGCAGAACAGGGTATCTCAACTGCTGAGAGGGATTCTGATGTTGTGCGCCAGAGTACATCGTTGTAGAAGGTGAAGGCAGCATCCAACCAGGCGATCCATCAACTGGTGATTGAGGCATGTAACCCATGTTGGATGCCTCTTCGGGCATCCTGAAGGTATTCGTGGGTGCTTGTGTATGTGCGCTTTGTGGGCTCATCATACTGTAGGGGCTGTCAGAGTACTCCATTCCATGGCCGTGCGAAGGTACAACGGGCTGCATTCCAGGTTGCATCATTTGGAGTGGTGACTGATAGGTAAGGCTCCGGTGGTACTCCTCCATCGATGTGTACTCGGGCATGGGGTTGTGCATAGACAGCCCTTGAGTCTGTAATCGGGGCGGCTGCATGGGATGCATAGATTGCATGCTCTCGGTCATTTGATGGTGCATATCAGATTCTGGCATAGTGTCGATTGCACCCATGCTCATCGTCCTGTTCTGATACATCGACGCGGTATCCATCTCGGGTCGTGTTGTCGCAATACTGGCCGATCGACCAGGTAGCTCAGGCAGAGAGCGTTGGCCTTCAGGAAGCTTGGGACTATTGCCGTGAACAGACTCGGTAGCTTTCTCCGACGATTGCGGGGTGCTGGAATCCTCAGACTTCGGCGCACCAGTGCCTCCTGCGGCGGTCGCAGCCTGCTGTTGGGCAAGATCCTTCCGCGATGCCTTTCCGCGTTTCTTGCGCTCACGTATGTACTCGCACGTCAATCCAAATTCTGACACTGTGTTAGCCAAGCTGTCAGAGGGGTAGCACATGGGTGATGGAAAGCGAACGGCAGTTTTAGCCCCGTAGCTAGGAGCCTCTAGCAGACACTACAAAAGTAACTTTTGGTCGCCTAAGCAGATGGTTCTCATCTCGGTTCATCCGTTGCCGAGCTCTCCATAACATCAAAACGTACCTATGCAATGCGCACACTACTCATACCGTTAGCATATTGATTTAGAAATTCACAGCCTGGGAGAGGACCTACAGATTGTCTCCCATCGCACTTCGTTCGCAACTGGTTACACTGATCACAGGCTCGGCTGATCCTGCGTCGCACCGGTCCAGACGTTGAGTTACCTCGTCCCGACCGCTCATGGAGCATCTCTCGCTGGTGTCGAGGCGCTATAGGACCACTGGCGTACGGTAACCGATGAGGCTTGACAAGTCCTTTTCCGTTTGGCAGCACATGCCGGTTCTGATGAAATTGTAGGGCTGCGTATTGTGAAGTGTGCGCGAGGTTGTCGAGTGGTGACTGCCCCATGTGCTGGGCAGCGAGATGATGATGTTGATGTTCGACCATGTTCGGCGCGGGGAGGTGGCTGAACGCCGAGGGGTATTGATGGAGATTCGTGGAAAGCATAACTGCGTTCTAGCGTCCGTCTCCACTACAATTCCACCACTCGAGGATAGCTCGGGAAGCGTCAGTTACGCGGGAAGTGACGGTGAAGTCGGAGTTCAGATTGTCCAAGGGGTGGCGAAGGGCGAAGAGCTGGCAACAAGGCTGAGAGATGTCAGCACAGGGCTGGAATTCCAAGGTTATGTCGTCGAGGGACGTCAAAAAGATATGCAGGTCAGTTGTCCAAAGGCCGTCTTTTGACCACTGCAGTGCGCCTGGGGTACCATATAGCACTCGGTTGTTAGGTACTGTCTCGGCCTCAGAGCTCAACCTTAGTGGACGCAGTGGGCTATAACACAGAACTGTCCAGTGCCTGAGGTGCAGGGTGAGGATACCGAATCGGCATGGACAGCCAGGTCCTTTCTCCGGGACCAGCTGCATCGCGCGTTAGAGACGTCTCTGGCCACATGCTGCAAACGAGATGGGCAACAGGGCACGCATGTTCGTGGGTGCGTGCGCCTTCGAGTCTAACTCGCCTTCCGTTCCTCCATCTCTAGTTCGAGCAATTCACCCCTGCGCGGCCAGGGTTTTGCTGCACACCAACATTCCACGTTGAGCACAGTCCACGAACGCCGCTGGATCTTCGTTGCCGCGGACTTTTACGGCTACATCCCAGAGGCATCGCCGCAGGTTAGACTCGTAATCAAAAAACCATATTGGTTGATCGGTGCCATCCCGACCCTATATGGCGTCGTGTTAAGAAAGGCGGCGTACCGATGCCGGCTCAACAAGTACCTTGGGGTACCTGCCCGTGCCCAGGACCCACCTGCTACCACACCTTCGCCCGTTTCCCGTTGCTGAGCGATCAGAACAGGGTGCCAGGGCTATGATTGGCGACCGCCGCCCGTGCAGCAGTGCGTTAGCAGGCGAGCCGCTGACAGCACGGGACCTGGCAGTCTCCATCGCCTAGACTCCCTTCTACGCGACCATCGCGGGACAGCCATTTCCTAGTCGCAGCCCCAATACGCGTCCCCTAGCTCGCGATGCATCCTGACATCCAGCGTTACCCGCTGTCCTGCCGGTCATCTGCACCCCAGCGAATAATCCGAAATCTGTTGGGGCCTGCGCTGATCACCTTCCCTCCTTTCATGAACCTGTCGCCATAGGGAGACATGAATTACGCGACATCAGAGAACGCGGAGATGCACTTCAGACGCTTTCCATTTCCCAGATTCCAGCTCTGACGAAAGAATTGATGACTAAATCGTCACGCAAAAGGTTCGCTTACGTCGGCGCTGAATACCCAGACAGTCTTCGCATGACAGTCTATCCTCATTCACTTCGGTAATGCATATTATGTATCTCTCCATAAACATGAACGAGCCAGGTTTACCACCTGCAGCGCAGATATACACCTGCCAAGACAAAGCTGGAATCGACCTGGTGTGCACAATTTTCTCGTCTATAACACGTTGTGTTATGACATTACACGCGGAAATGCCTGGCATGTACAACGGCTCTCCGAAGCGAGTGGCGCCAGCGATGCTAAAAACGTGTGCTATGCGCCGATTGCTCCCACGGTACGGCCTACTCCGCCCTAGTTGTTAGCTAGAGCGGGTGTCTATAGTTTGGTAACGAGGGCGTTCTGCTACAGCGAGACTGCGTTGAACCTGACTAGCTCACCCACAGCTGCCTGTACGATGTCTCGTGGTCAACATCCAGCTGAGAGATCTCCACAATCGTTACTGGGCGACAACGCTTGCTGATTAGGCATCCCCTCTTTGCGATACAACGCTACGGAGCCAGCGGATCGCTCCGCATTCCAAATATGTGCCGCTCTTCATGGTGGCTTAGAAGTGTTTTATTGAAGACTTGGCCTGCATTCATCCTGGACGAAGTAAGCTCTTTCAGTCAAGGTCCAAGTCGAAATCAAGGTTCTCGTTACTAGATCGGATCCGGAACCTAGTGAGTCTGCATGTAGCAACTAGAATAGCTCAGGGGACTTTTACCATGATGATTGTAGTCTCTGTGATGTTTCGAATGCCAGATCAGCCACCGAACATGAGGCAATTCGCATGTACAGCCAAGCAATATAGGACGACCGTCTTTCACAAAGCTTCTCCTGCCCACTAATGGCAAGGAAATGGTACCATACTTGGGGTTCAGCAGAACGAGGGTTTGACAGCTCATCAACTACCGATCGAAATATGCCTGCTCATTTCCATAATTTTAATGAAGGTCAGGTGATCAGCCCCGATGATTTACGGTGTATTGGGCTCATCGCGTCTAATAGGCGGTATGCTGTGGGTCTTATGACAAACCGCTATAAGTGTCGCGTACCCGCCTGGTGTGAGAAAACCGGTCCGGCGCCCAGTCTGTATCTACAAAGACCTGGAGCAACTGTATTGGATCATTTAAATACTGTTTCCAGCAGCCTTGTAACCCCAGGGACAGATCGAAGGGCCAAGGCGCGACAGTGATCAGAAGGCCAAGCTGTTACAGACGGTCATGAAGGCGGTGCATATTGGTGGATTGCAAGTCCCAAACTTCGACTTAGCTCTATTGTCGACTTCATGTTAGACACTGTCTGTCAACGTTGATATTGCCGGCATCGTGTACATGATCGGATCGTTTTTTTCGCTGTCGCTTTGACATCCAGGGCGGAAGAAGGGTCCAGGTGGCTGGGATAGTGGCAACCTAGAAGTTACTCAACAAAGTCCAGATCTTCGTGCTGACAGCCTTCTCATCGAAAGCCCGGATCGACATCCGCGGATTGTCTGGAGGGGCGTAGGTTGGCAAGTTACAGGGAAGAGTGCAGAGCCCTATCATGTTCCCCACTGTAAGTCTGTGCCCCAAGACCGAGTCACTGGACGATACTCTGTAAGGGACTGTCCAGCCTGAGCTCAATACCCTCGTTCCTGTAGGCTACCATACACATGCAGTCTGGAGCAGGAAGGGTAGATACGCAAGGCACGACGGCTCCCCAGCTCCGAATTGGGCTGGCTTTGGTGACATCTAGATATTGCATGCGCAGCTCTTGACGCCGCCGCCGCATGCAACGCGTGGAGTTGATTGATGAGCGCAAGCGAGGGCCGGCCATGCCGCCAAGCTACGCACCGTTAGTAGAACCATGTACAACCTATGATCTTCTGCAGTCCATGCTGACGCTCAAAGTTGGAGCCAAACTCGCCACCACTGCCGGCGAGCCCAGAACGGTCAGGACACTCCCAGTGTCAGTTCAACTTTCGATACGGAATGGAACCTCGCGTCACTTGCATGAGCCTTTGGGGTGAAATCTGTCGAGCAGATGTGCTGTTTACCAGAATTGGGATGGGTTGGTGGCTCTTCTCTTACATCTCCCCGGCTGCTTTCTCCTGCGAAGGTCTGACCACAGTAGAATGATGAAAGATGGAAGGTGGAGGTAATTAGTCAGGATGAGTCGTGAAGGCGCAGGTAACGGCATCCCTGGCCCGGAAGGGCAGCATACCTAGGTGCCACACCTGGGCAGTCTTACAAGTCACTCGGGACGCTACGTGGTGGGTGCGGAACCGGCTCTGTAGACTTTGCCTCCAGCGAGAGGATACCGCCGGTACACCTGCCGAAGTCTTGTAGCTCTTATCTCCACACTGCGCGGGTGGCACTCTCATAATTTGGCAATGGTAGCGAATCGGCGACGCCGCACAATTATACTGTTCTCTTCAAGTAATGAGGGCGCGGCGGCCATCGAATATGATTGCACTGTGTTGAATGGCACACGGCGCTGCCTGATCGCTTCCGTACACATCGGCTACATGTTAGTGAGGTGATCAGAAAAGGCCCGAATTTGCACTATCTGCACTCCAGTATTTCGACTTCAGCTATGATCACATCCGATTGCACAAGATAGGAGGTCCACGTGCGATGGAATATTACCAGGCTTGCGTGGATAGCGTCGGCGCGTCGATGCTGGCGACCAACGCGACGAATTAATGTTGTTCGACGCATCTTTCGAGCATCTCGCGCGTCGAGCATGCTTCATAATGATGTTGTATGTTCAAGTTGAGTTTCTGGAGAGCATGCCATGGTGTTTGTCGATAGCGGACAACCAAGTCCGTTATTCGGCGTGAAGCCATGAGAGGCCTCCACTATAATGGGACGTGCACGGGCTAGCGTTAGCGCTGTCATACGTCATCTCCGATGCGACTGCGGGCAAAGCCTCAACTCAAAATTAACTGCTCCCAAGACGCCACTGAATCGACACGCCGTGCGTCTCCATCTCAATTTATCCAAATAAACTACATACCAGACACACGCCATCATGTCGCTGGAGAAGATCACGACCATCTCTCCCATTACGAACAAGCCAGTTGTCACGCGCAATGGCCTTTCAGATGCAGACCTCCAATCTTTGCCTGAAACAGCCGCCACTGCGTTCGAGTCCTATCGACGCACATC